GGTCTTACAGCATCATTGACTATACTATACTACATCAATGATGCTGGAAGACCACCACAAAGACCAGAATGGAGATTTCTCTGAGACAGAAGCAGCCCGCTGACTGAATTTGATGATACAGATTTCTGTGACTGTTTTTGTACGAAAACACTGCAGCTGAAATAATGAGTTTGTTTCAGCCAATGATCAAACTGGACCTGCTTTGCTGTGCAGCACTTTTTATGAAGATAAAGAAGCTGGAAACAGGTGAGTGCTCCACAAGTTATCAGTTTCATTTTGTTTGACTACGTTTATCGCGTTGCAAATAGTTAAGAGGAGAAAATCTTGTTTATTCTTGAATAAATTTTGGTTGAATCATGATTGTAATGGAATATTTTTTATTTCATAACGACACAAGGTCAACAGAGGCATGGTTAGAAACAAAACAGAAGTTTTGCTGCTGCTGTTGCTGCTGCTTCATGTCTCTCTCCATCTCTTTGACTGACAACTTGAAGGATTTTCTTCTTCAGTTCATGTTCTTCTTTTAGATTGCACTTTTTGTTCATGAAACTCTTTGGCAAGTTTTTCATGAATAGTCAGCCTTTCCCCTCTTGCTGTGCTGCCTGGGGATGAAGAAACTGGCTGCTGCCACAGGTGCAATTTTTTGACCCTGTTCTGGCTCCTCCTACATCTGAGTCAAGCTTTGGTCATCTTTTTCTACAGAGAATTACAATACAAGACACAAGATTAATAGTTTTTTTTTTTTTTTCATTTTTATAGTGTCCTAAATGGTTCTAGCTTACCTAAGCAGAACAATAAATACACACAGACACACACATTGTAACAAAGTGTTGAAGAGTTTCCCCACATGAACTGTCCAGATGATCATCTGGCATGCCTTCAAATGGTTGTTGGCTGTTTATACAGTGGAAATGTTAGCAATCCTGATGGCCTCACAGTGGATTGAACAAAATAGAATTAAAAATGTTCTTATATGTTCAGATTCATTATCATCATTAATGTCCATTTTAAATAGTTCATCTGAAAGTCGTATGGAATTAGTATATGAAATTTATGAAGTAATATTTAGAATATCACAAATTCAAATAAAGATTAGGTTTATGTGGGTACCTGCTCATAAAGACATAGAAATGAATGACATGGCAGATCAAATTATGGAAATTATGGAAATAGCGTATTCTAAATCTGAAATAAAATCAGTTATTAAGAGAAACATTAAGTCTGAATGGCAACAATTATGGGAGGAAGGAAATAAAGGTCGTCATTTATTTAATATACGAAAGAAAGTAGGAAATTTGGAAGTAATTGGAAAAAAACGAAAAGAACAAGTTAGTAATGACAAGATTGAGGATTGGACATAGCGGATTAAATAAAACATTACATTTGATAGGGAAACATCCAACAGGTAGTTGTGAGTGTGATAGGGATATGGAAACAGTAGAACATGTAATAATTCATTGTGAAAAGTATGCATCAAGTAGAGAGAAGCTGAAACAAGAAATTATGAAATATGATATAGAGACATTAAAATTAAATAAGATATTAAATAAACATAAAATAAACAAGGCAGTTATTAATTTTTTGAAGGAAACAGGGTTATTTATGAGAAGTTATATTAAAGGGAGATGCTCTGGTCCACACTCCAGCATAGTAGATGGCGATAATACATCTTAACGTTAGATGTCACCCGCCAATAAAAACAGAGGAAGAAGAAGAAGAATGGTTGTTGGTTTTCAATCATCCAGTCAACATGTCCCCCAGGTCATCACTCTGTGGTCTAACTGGGGGTCCCCCACCTGGATTCAAATGCTCCCTACGAGCAATGGCTGCTGTTTTCTTCAGCTGTGTTTTGATGTTGCAATATGTGGCCTCATATGAGCAAACATACATTTCATTGTGAGTACTTAGAAGAATCTGTGTACTGTAAATACTATCATTAAATCTTGCCGAAATCTGTTGGAGGGTCCTGTTGGTAACTTTTTCATTTGAGTTATATTTATTCACAACTGCAGTCCGTGTGTTTTATTTTTTTTATTTCTGTGTTTGAATCGTGATGTTTGTCCTCAATTATGGGATGTTTAGAAATAATTTCCTTCAAAATTATATTCTCACGTTCACTGAAGTTTTTTGAACACTTTCTTTTTCCTTTATCCATGCTTAGTCAGAAGTCAGACTCCTGTTCCATAAACACAGACTGCTAAAATGTATAATGGGAAAATTCCACCCCAGGTTTTCAGAGCAACCTCACCTTTGCACCATGTGCAGATTGTTAATCTAATTCAGTTCCCAACACATGATCTGTCTAATCCTTGATTACCTTAGTCAGAGACTCTGTAGTCTGGAACTAGTTAATCTGAAGTTAAACAATGACTCAGAAAGCAATTGGATTAGTTTGGATTAAGTTAGACCAGATTAGTGCAGTCCTGGTTTTAAGATCTGAGTACGAAACCGGCCCTTAGGGTTTGATGAGACCAAACCTGGACTAAAGGCAAACCTGTTCAGCACCTGAACTTTTCTACTACAAAGTTATGCTGCTGTATTGGATGTACAGCAATATCTTGCTGAAATGTGCAAGAATTTCTCTGGTAAAGACACCTGAATGGGGGCACGTGTTGTTTTAAACTTGTATAGATTTTCCTGTTTTTACAGTCTGTTTCCAGATGTATAAGCTGCCCATGAAGAAGCCACTAACACACCCCTATAACATCAGAGAGGCAGGGTTTAAAACTGTAGTGCTGATGATAGACCTAGACGGTCTCACTCCTCTTTATTATTGCGGTCAGGCCATCCATGTTTTCCAAAATGAATTTCAAATTCCAAAACGTCCAGTTTTGTCTCTTTTTGTCCTTTGGTACAAAATTGTCTTGAAACTGTTTGATGATGTTATGAACTGTAAACAATCGAATATAAAACATATTCCTAAATTTCCAATGAGGAACATTTCCACTATTTTTAGACAGTTTGTCCCAGACTTGTGAAAGTTCAGCCTCTTTTTAATGATTAGTTATAACATTAAACTTTATCTGATAAACATTAATTTTAACTGCAAAATAAAGACTGTAAAAATACCGTAGGCTGTTTAGTTTTGCAATTTTTTTAAAATATATTTTAGCACGGACGGAGCCACTTTTCCACGTAAAACATTCTGGGTAAATGATGACGTGGATAGGTCCTCGGTGCGAGGCTGCAAGCGAGCTATATCCACCCTGAAGGTTAATCTTGGACAATATCTGATGAT